CAAATCGGGCCTTGAATAGTAGGCTGAGAAGTGCGTTCTGGCTACTAGGTACGACATATATATATATATATATATATATATATATATATATATATATATATATATATATGTCGTACCTAGTAGCCAGAATGCACTTTTCGGCCTACTATGCAAGGCCCGATTTGCCTAATAAGCCAAGTTTTCCTGAATTAATATATTTTCTCTAATTTTTTCTTATGAAATGATAAAGCTACCCATTTCATTATGTTGAGGTCAATTTTTTTTTATTGGAGTTAAAATTAACGTTGATATATGACCGAACCTAACCAACCCTACCTAACCTATCTTTATAGGTTAGGTTAGGTTAGGTAGCCGAAAAAGTTAGGTTAGGTTAGGTTAGGTAGGTTAGGTAGTCGAAAAACAATTAATTCATGAAAACTTGGCTTATTAGGCAAATCGGGCCTTGCATAGTAGGCTGAGAAGTGCGTTCTGGCTACTAGGTACGACATATATATATATATATATATATATATGTCGTACCTAATAGCCAGAACGCACTTCTCAGCCTACTATTCAAGGCGCGATTTGCCTACTAAGCCAAGTTTTCATGAATTAATGTTTTTTCGTCTACCTAACCTACCTAACCTAACCTAACCTAGCTTTTTTTGGCTACCTAACCTAACCTTACCTATAAATATAGGTTAGGTTAGGTTAGGTAGGGTTGGTTAGGTTCGGTCATATATCTACGTTAATTTTAACTCCAATAAAAAAAAATTGACCTCATACATAGAGAAAAGGGTTGCTTTATCATTTCATAAGAAAAAAATTATAGTAAATATATTAATTCAGGAAAACTTGGCTTATTAGGCAAATCGGGCCTTGAATAGTAGGCTGAGAAGTGAGTTCTGGCTACTAGGTACGACATATATATATATATATATATATATATATATATATATATATATATATATATATATATATATATATATATATATATATATATATATATATATATGTCGTACCTAGTAGCCAGAACTCACTTTTTGGCCTACTATTCAAGGACCGATTTGCCTAATAAGCCAAGTTTTCCTGAATTAATATATTTTTTCTAATTTTTTTCTTATGAAATGATAAAGCTACCCATTTCATTATGTATGAGGTCAATTTTTTCTTATTGGAGTTAAAATTAACGTAGATATATGACCGAACCTAACCAACCCTACCTAACCTAACCTAACCTATCTTTATAGGTTAGGTTTGGTTAGGTAGCCGAAAAAGTTAGGTTAGGTTAGGTTAGGTAGGTTAGGTAGTCGAAAAACAATTAATTCATGAAAACTTGGCTTATTAGGCAAATCGGGCCTTGAATAGTAGGCCAAAAAGTGAGTTCTGGCTACTAGGTACGACATATATATATATATATATATATATATGTCGTACCTAGTAGCCAGAATGCACTTCTCGGCCTACTATGCAAGGCCCGATTTGCCTAATAAGCCAAGTTTTCCTGAATTAATATATTTTCTCTATTCTTTTTCTTATGAAATGATAAAGCTACCCATTTCATTATGTATGAGGTCAATTTTTTTTTATTGGAGTTAAAATTAACGTAGATATATGACCGAACCTAACCAACCCTACCTAACCTAACCTAACCTATCTTTATAGGTTAGGTTAGGTTAGGTAGCCGAAAAAGTTTGGTTAGGTTAGGTTAGGTAGGTTAGGTAGTCGAAATACAATTAATTCATGAAAATTTGGCTTATTAGGCAAATCGGGCCTTGCATAGTAGGCTGAGAAGTGCGTTCTGGCTACTAGGTACGACATATATATATATATATATATATATATATATATATATATATATATATATATATATATATATATATATATAATGTCGTACCTAGTAGCCAGAACGCACTTCTCAGCCTACTATGCAAGGCCCAATTTGCCTAATAAGCCAAGTTTTCCTGAATTAATCGTTTTTCGACTACCTAACCTACCTAACCTAACCTAACCTAACTTTATCGGCTACCTAACGTAACCTAACCTATAAAGATAGGTTAGGTTAGGTTAGGTAGGGTTGGTTAGGTTCGGTCATATATCTACGTTAATTTTAACTCCAATAAAAAAAATTTGACCACATACATAATGAAATGGGTAGCTTTATCATTTCATAAGAAAAAAATTAGAGAAAATATATTAATTCAGGAAAACTTGGCTTATTAGGCAAATCGGGCCTTGCATAGTAGGCTGTAAAGTGCGTTCTGGCTACTAGGTACGACATATGTCTATATATATATATATATATATATATATATATATATATATATATATATATATATATATATATATATATATATATATATATATATATATATTATTAAATATGACCGAAAAAGTAAGATTAATAATTCTAACACGAATTTTCTCGATCTTTCGTACGTTTCTTTTCGCTGTTGGTGGTAATTCAAAATTCAATTCTCCAAAATTCATTTTTTTTGGAGAATTGATTTTTGAATTACCGCCAACAGTGAAAAGAAACGTACGAAAGATCGAGAAAATTCGTGTTAGAATTATTAATCTTACTTTTTCGGTCATATTTAATAATATATGTCTACAGGAAAGACTGCTACCAAATATACTAATATATATATATATATATATATATATATATATATATATATATATATATATATATATATATATATATATATATATATATATATATATATATATAATATGTCGTACCTAGTAGCCAGAACGCACTTCTCGGCCTACTATGCAAGGCCCGATTTGCCTAATAAGCCGAGTTTTCCTGAATTAATATATTTTCTCAAAATTTTTTCTTATGAAATGATACAGCTACCCATTTCATTATGTATTAGGTCAATTTTTTTTATTGTAGTTAAAATTAACGTAGATATATGACTGAACCTAACCAACCCTACCTAACCTAACCTAACCTTTCTTTATAGGGTAGGTTAGGTTAGGTAGCCGAAAATGTTAGGTTAGGTAGTCGAAAAACAATTCATGAAAAGTTTGCTTATTAGGCAAATTGGGCCTTGCATAGTAGGCTGAGAAGTGCGTTCTGGCTACTAGGTACGACATATATATATATATATATATATATATATATATATATATATATATATATATATATATATATATATATATATATATATATATATATATATATATAACTGAAAACTCACACCCCAGAAGTGACTCGAATATATATAGTCCTGTATATATAACTATAGTCCTATATATATAGTCCTATATATATAACTATATATATATATAGTTGTATATAGTCCTGGGGACCATTCAGGCTTGTTTGCATATATATATATATATATATATATATATATATATATATATATATATATATATATATATATATATATATATATATATATATATATATATATATATATATATATAATATTAGCTTATTATGCATAGGTTAGGTGTTTAAGTTATATGTTGGCGATTATTTGTATTTGTAGTGCGTGGGTGAAGCATTTACAGCGTTGTAGCTCGAACAAAAGTGGCCAGCGAAGCAATTGTTTTGGAAGTGTTCGGACGTCATCAGTTGTGAGTCGTTGACCAAACCGCACACTAGAAATTGAAGAGACGACGACGTTTCGGTTCGTCCTGGACCACTTATCAAGTTAACCCACACAATCGACTTGATAATGGTCCAGAAAGAACCGAAACGTCGTTGTCTCCTCAATTTCTAGTGTGTGATTGGTCAACATTCTTCAGCCACGTTATTGTGACTCATCATCTGCTTGTGAGTAGTGTGTAAACCGTTTTTCATTCATAAACAGGGGGTTTGGCGGGTGCATGGAATGGACTTTAGATCTTTGTTTAAGGGACGGGCTGTACAGTCAGTTTCGTTTTCGACTCACAATCGGGAATTCCATGCGGGATTCGATTCCCAGGCAGGACAGGAATCCAGCCCGTCCTCCAAAGATCCAAAAGTGATTCCATGCACCCGCCAAACCCCCTGTTTATGAATGAAAAGCAGTTTACACACGACTCTCAACTGCTGACGTTCGAACACTTCCGGAACAAGTGCTTCACTGACGAATTTTGTTCGAACCACAATGCTGTAAATGCTTCACCCACGTACTACAAATACAAATAATCGCCAACAGAACCTAAACACCTAACCTTACCTATGCCTATATATGCACAATATGCTAATATATTATAATATTAATTTATACTTGAGAAAATTCCCGTTTTGAATGAACAGTGTGTTAAAATTTATGAATGCGTCTGTGGGGTTGACCGCTGAATGTAATGGATTTGAGTCGAGGACGGGTTGCAGGAATCAACCCATCCTCATAAACAAAGGCCAAAGTCCATTCCATGCACCTGCCAAATCCCCCTGTTTATGAATGAAAAACATTGTTTTTGTGTAAACATACACACTACTCAACTGATGACGATCGAAAACTTCTCAAACATGACGTGTTTCACTGTTGACTGTTTACTGTTTCGCTGTCGCTGTTTTGTTAACACTACAACGCTGTAAATGCTTCACTCACGTACTACAAATAAAAACGCCAAATAATAATCGCCAACAGAACCTAAACACCTAACCTAACCTATGCCTAAATATGCACAATATGCTAATACAGTATATAACAATATTTAATTAAAAAAAAATCAATTTTGAATGAACAGCATGATAAAATTGGTCTTTGGGGTCGACCACTGGATGGAATAGAGTTGTCTGTGGACGGTCTGTAAGAATTTGGTTGTGCGGATTTCTTATCATCTAATGTACCTGTTCACATAGAAGTAAATAAGCCCGTCCTAAGAGCTAATTCATTACAAAAGTGACAAACAAAAATAGGTGAGTCAAACTGGCATCCGCATATACGACTCAATTGCCAGTCAGTACTGTGTGCTTGTGTGCGTGCGTCCGTGCGTGGGTGAGCGATGGGGCGTGAGAGCGGGTACTGTGGGTTGGACCAGAGCCATTGCTGCACCTCAGTGGCTGGCCAGACGGGCTCTGCTGGGTATCTGAGCAGTTCCTCTTGTACCTCTCCTGCTTCCCTCGTGCTCTGCTGGGTATCTGAGCAGCTCCTCTTGTACCTCTCCTGCTTCCCTCGTGCTCTGCTGGGTATCTGAGCAGCTCCTCTTGTACCTCTCCTGCTTCCCTCGTGCTCTGCTGGGTATCTGAGCAGCTCCTCTTATACCTCTCGTGCTCAACCCTCCCTCCTGAGGTTACACCAGCCCCCTAACTCTTCCTTCCCTGTTACGTGCACCCGCGGATCTTATTTGTCGAAAAACTCTTGGTGAATTTTGTGATACAAATATCTGAGTGCTACAGAACGGGGCGACCTCAGCAGTACAACCATGCAGATTGATTCATACTCAGACGGGGTAAGTACATTATTACATTACTTTGTCCTATACAAACTACAAAATGAATACATAGGTGAATGATGACGTGAGTGGTGCGTCCCACATTACAGCTTTCCAGTAAACCCGAGGGATATGTAATGGTACAGAATATGAGTTCTATATATAGTTTGCAGCCTAGCAGTACGGGAAGAATTTACTAACAAGTGGTACAGTGGTTATCACTTTTCAAATTATTACTGCAGCTACAAAGGATTACAAATTTGCATGGTCTTAGTGGAGAAAGTGCAGTACTCTCACTGCAATCATTATTGATATATTACAGGAGAAAGCGACGCGCTCCTCACGTCAGCATCCTGGCCATACTAATAGGAGATTTTCTAGAAAATATAAATTTAATTATTTGTATTTATCTAAAGCACTTACAAGACCGAATAATCGGTAATTTTTAGGGTCCCGGTAGTACAGTTGGGTTCGTTCTTGACTCACAATCCAGATTTCCGGACTTTCAGAAATGCTTGGGCGCCTTTCCTATCACCTGGTGCTCCTATTCACCTAGCAGTAAATGGGTACCCAGGAGTTAGTCAGCTAGTTGTGGGGTTGTATCCTGGGCGGGGTCAGTAATTCGCCCTCGGTGCATGGGGGGTTGGGAGCACCTCAATATAGGCCTAACATGTACTATATGAGTAAACTAACTGGCTGTTCCCCCGATTAATTATTATTTACCAATGTATTTATATACATTCTTGCAAAACCATTAACAAACGCATGTGAGAACTATGTTAAAGAAAAGAAAGGATTTTCTCTCAGATGTCTAACATTTGAGGCTAACCTGTGTCTTATACAGTCTTATTAATGTACAAGTCATTTCCCAGTCGTCTAAAGGGAGTTAGTTCTGCTTATTAGGCAGCCTATACCTGTCTACAGGACGGTTACAGTTTCTCATCAATATATCACTGGCTCATTTAATGTACATTTTAATGTGTCTAGAGCTTATCAAATTAGTTGGAAACCAGCGAGCAGAAACACTAAAGAAGCTTGCATATACTGTCTGTGCTTACGTGAATAAATAGGAGCCAAATGTTAGTCAACTGTGGGTGTGTGGGATCATTCACCTCCAGCCGTCAAGGGAAGTTTTTCATGGGGATGACACAACTCTTCAACTATGGTGCTGCTGCGCGCGCGTCCGTACATGTGCCAATTATCAATGTCGGTTTGAATGTTTTCAATTTATCTCTCCGTAAACGTTTCTTATAGTTAGCTTGCTGGCTTAATTGTTTTGATTATTGTCCTAGTTGTGAGTGAATGACGTTCATCTTAGGCGGTTTAAAAGTTATTAAAGCCTACTATTAAAGCTTAAAGCCTTGTGCCTACCAATTTTTGTCAACTACCATTCAAGCTGTCATTGCAATCAATCTGAGCTACCTATGTGCTTTAATATACCTACAATTTTCTCTCATCTTTTTTTTTCCTTGCCTTGTAACTGTTATTATTTTTTATAAATTTTGCAGTATTTACCTACTTAAAATTTTCTTATATTAAGGACTTGCCGGAAACGCTGCGCGTACTAGTGGCTTTACAAGATTGTAATTACTATGCTATGTATCCTCACAATCCTAATGTACCTTCTTGCATATATATAAATAAATAGTCTTGCCGTAGCTAGTAAACTTTTGGCATAGGCACATGGTGGCGTGTAGTGTGTGTGAAGGGAATATATATACTGCCTCACATCAAGACTTGCCAGACGTGGGTCTCAGGTGTCAGTCAGGGGGGAGCCTCAGGTGTCAGTCAGGGGGGAGCCTCAGGTGTCAGTCAGGAGGGAGCCTCAGGTGTCAGTCAGGGGAGCCTCAGGTGTCAGTCAGGGGGAAGCCTCAGGTGTCAGTCAGCCTCAGGTGTCAGTCAGGGGGGAGCCTCAGGTGTCAGTCAGGGGGGAGCCTCAGGTGTCAGTCAGGGGGGAGCCTCAGGTGTCAGTCAGGGGGGAGCCTCAGGTGTCAGTCAGGGGGGAGCCTCAGGTGTCAGTCAGGGGGGAGCCTCAGGTGTCAGTCAGGGGGGAGCCTCAGGTGTCAGTCAGGGGGAGCCTCAGGTGTCAGTCAGGGGGAGCCTCAGGTGTCAGTCAGGGGGGAGCCTCAGGTGTCAGTCAGGGGGGAGCCTCAGGTGTCAGTCAGGGGGGAGCCTCAGGTGTCAGTCAGGGGGAGCCTCAGGTGTCAGTCAGGGGGGAGCCTCAGGTGTCAGTCAGGGGGGAGCCTCAGGTGTCAGTCAGGGGGGAGCCTCAGGTGTCAGTCAGGGGGGAGCCTCAGGTGTCAGTCAGGGGGAGCCTCAGGTGTCAGTCAGGGGGAGCCTCAGGTGTCAGTCAGGGGGGAGCCTCAGGTGTCAGTCAGGGGGGAGCCTCAGGTGTCAGTCAGGGGGGAGCCTCAGGTGTCAGTCAGGGGGGAGCCTCAGGTGTCAGTCAGGGGGGAGCCTCAGGTGTCAGTCAGGGGGAGCCTCAGGTGTCAGTCAGGGGGAGCCTCAGGTGTCAGTCAGGGGGAGCCTCAGGTGTCAGTCAGGGGGAGCCTCAGGTGTCAGTCAGGGGGAGCCTCAGGTGTCAGTCAGGGGGAGCCTCAGGTGTCAGTCAGGGGGAGCCTCAGGTGTCAGTCAGGGGGGAGCCTCAGGTGTCAGTCAGGGGGAGCCTCAGGTGTCAGTCAGGGGGAGCCTCAGGTGTCAGGCGAGCCTCAGGTGTCAGTCAGGGGAGAGCCTCAGGTGTCAGTCAGGGGAGAGCCTCAGGTGTCAGTCAGGGGGAGCCTCAGGTGTCAGTCAGGGGGAGCCTCAGGTGTCAGTCAGGGGGGAGCCTCAGGTGTCAGTCAAGGGGAGCCTCAGGTGTCAGTCAGGGGGGAGCCTCAGGTGTCAGTCAGGGGCGAGCCTCAGGTGTCAGTCAGGGGCGAGCCTCAGGTGTCAGGGGAGCCTCAGGTGTCAGTCATGGGGGAGCCTCAGGTGTCAGTCAGGGGGGAGCCTCAGGTGTCAGTCAAGGAAGCCTCAGGTGTCAGTCAAGGAAGCCTCAGGTGTCAGTCAGGGGGGAGCCTCAGGTGTCAGGGGAGCCTCAGGTGTCAGTCAGGGGGGAGCCTCAGGTGTCAGTCAGGGGGGAGCCTCAGGTGTCAGTCATGGGGGAGCCTGAGGTGTCAGTCATGGGGGAGCCTGAGGTGTCAGTCATGGGGGAGCCTGAGGTGTCAGTCATGGGGGAGCCTGAGGTGTCAGTCAGGGGGAGCCACAGGTGTCAGTCAGGGGGGAGCCTCAGGTGTCAGTCAGGGGGGAGCCTCAGGTGTCAGTCAGGGGGGAGCCTCAGGTGTCAGTCAGGGGGGAGCCTCAGGTGTCAGTCAGGGGGGAGCCTCAGGTGTCAGTCAGGGGGGAGCCTCAGGTGTCAGTCAGGGGGGAGCCTCAGGTGTCAGTCAGGGGGGAGCCTCAGGTGTCAGTCAGGGGGGAGCCTCAGGTGTCAGTCAGGGGGGAGCCTCAGGTGTCAGTCAAGGAAGCCTCAGGTGTCAGTCAAGGAAGCCTCAGGTGTCAGGGGAGCCTCAGGTGTCAGTCAGGGGGGAGCCTCAGGTGTCAGTCAGGGGGAGCCTCAGGTGTCAGTCAGGGGGGAGCCTCAGGTGTCAGTCAGGGGGAGCCTCAGGTGTCAGTCAGGGGGAGCCTCAGGTGTCAGGCGAGCCTCAGGTGTCAGTCAGGGGAGAGCCTCAGGTGTCAGTCAGGGGAGAGCCTCAGGTGTCAGTCAGGGGGAGCCTCAGGTGTCAGTCAGGGGGGAGCCTCAGGTGTCAGTCAGGGGGGAGCCTCAGGTGTCAGTCAAGGGGAGCCTCAGGTGTCAGTCAGGGGGGAGCCTCAGGTGTCAGTCAGGGGGGAGCCTCAGGTGTCAGTCAGGGGCGAGCCTCAGGTGTCAGGGGAGCCTCAGGTGTCAGTCATGGGGGAGCCTCAGGTGTCAGTCAGGGGGGAGCCTCAGGTGTCAGTCAAGGAAGCCTCAGGTGTCAGTCAAGGAAGCCTCAGGTGTCAGTCAGGGGGGAGTCTCAGGTGTCAGGGGAGCCTCAGGTGTCAGTCAGGGGGGAGCCTCAGGTGTCAGTCAGGGGGGAGCCTCAGGTGTCAGTCATGGGCGAGCCTCAGGTGTCAGTCAGGGGCGAGCCTCAGGTGTCAGTCAGGGGGGAGCCTCAGGTGTCAGTCAGGGGGGAGCCTCAGGTGTCAGTCAGGGGGGAGCCTCAGGTGTCAGTCAGGGGGAGCCTCAGGTGTCAGTCAGGGGGGAGCCTCAGGTGTCAGTCAGGGGGGAGCCTCAGGTGTCAGTCAGGGGGGAGCCTCAGGTGTCAGTCAGGGGGGAGCCTCAGGTGTCAGTCAGGGGGGAGCCTCAGGTGTCAGTCAGGGGGGAGCCTCAGGTGTCAGTCAGGGGGGAGCCTCAGGTGTCAGTCAGGGGGGAGCCTCAGGTGTCAGTCAGGGGGGAGCCTCAGGTGTCAGTCAGGGAGGAGCCTCAGGTGTCAGTCAGGGGGGAGCCTCAGGTGTCAGTCAAGGAAGCCTCAGGTGTCAGTCAAGGAAGCCTCAGGTGTCAGGGGAGCCTCAGGTGTCAGTCAGGGGGAGCCTCAGGTGTCAGGGGAGCCTCAGGTGTCAGTCAGGGGGGAGCCTCAGGTGTCAGTCATGGGGGAGCCTCAGGTGTCAGTCAGGGGCGAGCCTCAGGTGTCAGGCGAGCCTCAGGTGTCAGGGGCGCCTCAGGTGTCAGTCAGGGGGGAGCCTCAGGTGTCAGTCAGGGGGGAGCCTCAGGTGTCAGTCAGGGGGGAGCCTCAGGTGTCAGTCAGGGGGGAGCCTCAGGTGTCAGTCAGGGGGAGCCTCAGGTGTCAGTCAGGGGAGAGCCTCAGGTGTCAGTCAGGGGGAGCCTGAGGTGTCAGTCATGGGGGAGCCTCAGGTGTCAGTCATGGGGGAGCCTGAGGTGTCAGTCATGGGGGAGCCTCAGGTGTCAGTCAGGGGGGAGCCTCAGGTGTCAGTCAGGGGGGAGCCTCAGGTGTCAGTCAGGGGGGAGC